CTCGCCCTGCGCCCCTTCCCCGGGCCCTGAGGTGCGGGCTCCCCGGCGTGTGCTCCCCGCGTTTGCTCACTTGCTGTCTTGTAGGAGCTGGGTGGTCTGGCTGTCACTGCGTGCCTGCTGACCTGCACCTCCTCCCTTTGCAGCCAGTTGTGCTGTGATTCTGACGTGACTCTTTTCAAGGGCGTCCCTGGTTTCCTATTTCACCAGAGGCTGCGCCGGTCTGGAAAGATGGAGATGGAAGGACAGGAGGACTCGAATCTCATCACTGAAGCATGAGGAACGCGCGAGCTTGTTTAATTTCGGGTTCCTGAAGGGGGCAGAAAGAGAGGATGACTTCCCACAGTGGGCAGCACCCTGAGACATTGAGAGGACTAGATATATAAAGAGGTGCAGGGCGTTGAGCCACCTTGGGATTCTTGGGAGATGTGTGGGAGGAACTTGAACCCCGGCCTCGGCCACTGCTGGACAGGAAGAAGGGCGCTGCCCACCTGGGCTGTCTGATTCTGTATGGGTCACCGGCTCTGTGGTCGGCTAGCTTTTCAGGGCTCATTAGAAGCTTTTGGAGTACTGCAGTAAAGTTTGATTTATTGCAGTGTTTTTCAAACTGTGAGTTCTTTCAGTCAGTTGAAAGTCAATTTAGCAGATGCAGTCCCCCTTTAAGTAGAAACAGAAACTATCAGAGTGTGTTTTGCTCAGCAAGAGCAATGTTTCTTGACATTTGCCTCAGTTATGAGTGTTATGAGGTATAGAATAAATATAGAATCAGTGGCCCCTCCTGTGTCAGTGTGTTGGGAGGTGTTTGTTGTTGTGTTTTTCTTTTTTACCGAATCTGTTTTTTGTTTTTTGAGACAGGGTCTCACTATGTAGTTGAGACTGACCTGGAACGCATTATGTGTAGCCCAGGCTGGCCTTAATTCACAGTGATCCTCCTGCCTCAGCCTCCCAAGTGCTGGGTTTGCAGGTGTGCGCCACCACACCCGGCTCTGGAGTGTGTTTTTCTTTGTGTCACAGGAAATTTGGAAAGCATTGATCACTTGTGTTCTGTTGGCCCCCTTGCTCCTCAGCCTGAGCTTGCAGTCAGTTCAAATTGTCCAGAAAGATGTGGTTAGAACCCAGGGATGCACAGGAAGGAACAGGGTAGGTCTCTGTCTTCTCTGCCTGAGAAGGATGATGTTCACTTTTTCCAGTACTGGTGATTGAACTGAGGACCTTCACTCTGGACTACATCCCAGCCCTGTTTATTTTTTTTATTTTTACTTTGATGCAGGGACTTGTGCTAAGTTGCCTAGGCAGGATTAAATTTGTGACCCTCCTGTTTCAGCCTCCTAGAGTGCTGGGATTACAAGGATGTGCCACCATGCCCTGAATGAAAAAACAAGAATTTTGTTGGCAGTAGGAAGTAGCTGATTTTATAGGAAGCGCTGTTTTTTTCAACCGACAAAAAGGAAGGTAGTGATGAATCCTTGGTAGACTGCCTGGGTACAAGAGTCTTTGTAGGCTTGAGGTCTGAGAGTTGTTTCAGAAAGGAGCCAAAAATTTAAGGGCTGTGCTGTCTTTTTTTGTTTTGTTTTTTAAAGAATTGTCCATTTTACCCTTGTGTGTATGTGTAACTTTTTACGTAGTGTGTTGGTTTAATGGTTGTAAAACTAGTGTGATCTGTTGCTTGCATGGAGCAATAAAATTCATTTTGAGCCCTGATAGTAGATAACTGAAAAATTGAAATAGAGGGCATAGTTACTGGTTTGGAGAGCCCTGAAAATCATTGGAAGGTATTTCTTAAATATATTTTTTAAAATAATGCATTTGGGCTGAGAATTTAGCTCAGTGGTGCCACTGCCTGCCTCACAAGTACAAGGTCCTGAGTTCAATCCCCGGTATCCCCCCCCCCACAAATGCAGTTATGGATCTGAACATAGGGATTCTTGAGCTGTTTCTGCCTGTGCCTTATTAGGGTTACCACCTCTGAACAGTGTCCTCGGAGAGTGTATGGCATTTTGCAGACAGCAAAGGAAGCATTTCAGCAAGCCTGAAAAGAGAGTTGAATTAGCGTTATTATAGAATCTGTTAAGGAACAGTGGCCGTAATATTTACTTTTGAGACAGAGCCTTACTGTGTCCTGGGCACTGTGCCTCAAAGTCATCCTCCTGCCTCAGCCTACTGAGGCCTGAGATTACAGGCATGTACCACCATACCTAATCCAAAATATTTTATTGTTGCCTCTGTGGAAGGTAGATTCCTCCTCTGGAGTGTCTGTTGCTTAGGCCCTAGCCTCTCCTCAGCTCCTAGAATCCTAGATGATGTGTTGTCTTTTAAATCCTATTTTGCTCCACTGCCTCTTTGTGATTGTGGCATCTGGACCCATTTATGGTGGATTTTCCTGTTTGTGGCACTTGGGTAGTTCTTATAGCTCTGTAGGGGCTTGGGAAGGTCGAAAAAATCAGATTACGGCTTGAGTGCCATGGCACCACCTGTAATCTCAGTGCTCCAGGAGGATGAGGCACAAGAAGAGCAAGTTTGCACACAGCTGTAGCAGCTTACCAACAGCAAGACCTTGTCTCAAGATTTAAAAAAGGGGCTAGGGATATAGCTTAGAAAGAAGTCCTGGGTTCAATTTGCAGTACCAGAAAAAACAGATTAAGGTTAGCCTTCCATTTCGTAGGTGATGATTTGTACATTGTGGCTTGCCCTGATATGATCTGACAGGCGTGTCAGTGGAGACTAACAGTGATAGCTCAGGTTTCGGTGCACTGTCCTGAGTCAGGTAGCATAGTGGGTGCAGGTAGCTTGTCATTCACTAGGCGTCTGCAGGAAAGGATAGGAAAGTCCCCGCATTCTCATCTTTGGGGAGGAGAGGTAGCACTTCTCCAGGTCCCCTCTAAGGCCGGTATTAGCATAGAGATGCCGGTGAGCTGCCTGGGGTCTCCCGCATTCTCATCTTTGGGGAGGAGAGGTAGCACTTCTCCAGGTCCCCTCTAAGGCCGGTATTGTTAGCATAGAGATGCCGGTGAGCTGCCTGGGGTTGGGAGGCAGATCGCTTGTCTTGCACACCTAGCCTCCACAGGATGATTTAGACTTGCAGGGGTGGCGAACCTATGGCACCCATGTTATTGTGTTTCTCTTTTAAGACAAAAGATGTTAATGTATGAGTTGTTTGTCTTTTTTGGTACTGGAGATTGAACTTGGGACCTTGAGTTTGCCAGGCAGGCACAGTGCCACTGAGCTACATCCCCACCCATGAGTTGTTTTTTCTAAACTAAAACCTCAGTGTTCAGGTTTAATTGCAGTGTTGACACTGTTGTGATGAATAAGTGGTCTTGGGGTTGCAGTTTGGCACTTGGTCTCTAAAAGGTTCTCCATCCCTGATTCAGAGGTTTTCCCAGTCACAGTGCCCCTTGCCTGGGTAGAGATAAAGCACTTTCATTTCCATGTCACTTTGCTCTTCCTAGTGACCCCTGCTTGCGAGACTGGAGGAGTGATCTCAGGGTCACAGACTTCTAGGGAGAGGAGGGGAGGCTGGGCGGGAGTCCTGTCCTCCCCATCCTCCTGTTTTGCTGTTTCCCTGCTGTTCTCTTTCATGCCTGACCCCTCTACATTCGTGGCCCCATGTCTCTGGCCCAGTGTAGGTGGTGACAGGCAGGGGACAGCTATGGGATTTAATAGACACAAGTCTACCTGCAGCTTTTCCAGAATTTAAACATTCCAAACTTGCTCCTGGGTTATCGGTGTGTCCCCCTCCTCCCCCTGTGAAGCTGGGGTGGGAGGGAGATAAAACTGAAATATATAAAATCTATTTATTAAAAAAATCAGCTTGAATGATTGAGAGATGTCAGATTTAGCCAACAACCACTGCTTTAAATACTTCTGTAACAAATAAACATCTAAGAAAATTTTTTGTGGACCGAGTTGGGAAATGGGATTCTTTAGATACAGCCTATCATGCTGTTGAGGGATGCCTTGCTTATTTTTTTGGTTTTTTTATTTGATGTTATTTATTTTGTGGTCTTGAATATTGAACCTAGGGGCTTGCACTGGAGTGTATTCCCAGCCCTTTTTATTTTATTGATTGCTTGAGTGATTGGTTGGGATATTGGTAAATTGCCTGGGCTGTGTTAGAACTTGTGACCCTCTTTCCTCAGCTTCCCAGAGTGCTAGGATTATCAGCATGCACCACACATCTGATTATCTGTTTATCTTTTGAGATAGGATCTTGTAGCCCAGGATGACCCTGAACTTGATATATAGCCCCAGCTGGCCTCCGATTCACTGCCTCAGCCTTCTTGGTGCTGGGATGGCAGGCATGTACCACCATACCCAGCTTGGATTTGCTTATGTACTGTGAAAACTCGCACCTTGATCAGTGAGTCAGCTTCAGCTTTGGTCCTGGATGGCACTGGGTGGGTAGCATGGATACTTGCCTCAGTGGAGTTTGTCAGTGGTTGAAAGCAGCCTCTTGAGGTGCCCAGTGCCTGTCCTGTGCAGTGTAGGACAAGAACAGTGCTGGGCTCTATCTGGACTCTTTTGCTTGCTGACCTGGGATGAGTGGGCAAGTGTCAGCTTCTCTGACTTCATTCTCCATCTGCAGAATGGTGCTTCCTCACTGAGACCTCAAAATCCTCAGCTGATGCAACCTCTTAGGCTTTGTTTCTTGTTTCTTTGTTTCCATTGGATGCTTAGGAATGAAATCACCAAGAAAATGACCTCCCTGAGGACACTTTGAGAATTGCAACATGGTAGACTTGTGTGAAGTTAAAAAGACACAAAGTAGCCTGGTGTGGAAGCTGCCTACCTGTAATTCCAGAACTTGGGAGGCAGAGGCAGGAGGATCACTTCGAGTTCCAGGCCAGCCTCGACTACATAATGAGTTCAAGGCCAGCCTAAAGGATATATCCAGACCCTGTCTAAAAGAAAAAGAAAAGAAAAGGCATATAGTAAATTCTTCTGAAAGGAATTATGAGGCTGCAAAGCAGTGATGAATTTTCAGTCAACACACAGAAGCATTTACTGGGCCAGGGTAAGCAGGAGAACCCTGGGGGCCTAGGGATAGGGTGGGCGTCAATCCTGTGAGCCCACTCCCCACCCCTCCCGGCTTTGATGAAAGACCTTTAGAGGCTCACACTGGTGGCTTGTCCTTTTTGTGGCTGGGCTTTGCATTTGATTGCTTAGTGTTTCTTTTTTCTTTCTAACAGAATCTCCTTTAAGCACTCATTTGTGGTGGTGTAAGACTTTTTTCTTCTTCTAAGGCCTCACACATTCTAGGCACGTGCTCTGCCATCCAACTGTTCCCTTCCGTTCTCACTCATGGCCCTGTTTCCTCACTTTTCTATAGAGCTCACAGGAGCCTGTTCCCTGGAAAGGCCTTCAAATGCATGCAACATTACTAAGGCACCAGAGGATTAAAACTGTTAGGGTGGAAACGATGTATAGCTTGGTCTGTGATACTAAGTATACTATATAATTAGGTACAACATACAGGTAGCATAGATCTGCACATTTGTAGACACACTGTGCTGCTCTTTAGAGCTCCAGTGGTGATACGTTCTATCTTTCCTCAAGCATCAGAGGTTCTTTCTGCCTGCTTTTCTAGTTCAGACTCTGTATGAAATGAGATAAAACTCAGCTCACCTGGTCCTTGGGAGTGCCCCGAGCCCACCATATGGAAACTGAGCCAGAGGTTGAATTGCAAATCACTTCTGGCGCAGTCCCCCGGATCTTGATGTGTGTGTCCACTGTTCTGGGCCCTGGGTGGGTGGCACTTAGCCAGGGACTGCGGTCCCTGCTCCCACAGAGCCATCATTCCAGCATGCCTGTGGGGGTCGAGCCAAGTGAGGAAACCCATGTGACCCTGAGATCCTGGCTGTCCCTGTTCCCCACAACTGAGGGCAGGAGATAGCGTCAGCCAAGGGGAAGTGAGCACACTCAGGTGGCATCGAGTCATTTTGCCCACCACCTGAAGGGAAAGGTTGTGATTCACTTTCTGAGCCAGGAAGCAGTCTGTAAAGTTGCCCTGCAGTGAATGTAGGGAAGGAAGCACCATCAAGTTTCACCTCCTGCCCAGGCACCACCAGGCTTACAGCAAAGCATTAGACGGGGTGTGAAGCGGACTACACCGTGTCCTCAGGGTGGATCTGTCTATACCATGAAGTAACTCTAAGGGCACCAGAGTTGCTCTGAAGAGGTCTGCTGCTTCCGTTACTCTTCCTGATCTGGAGCAGCTACTTATTGGGGGGAAGGGATGCTTTCCACAGCATGCAGCATGGATGCCAGGCTAGGAGATGATTCTGGGGCCTGCAAGTCATACTGGGGTTGCTCCTCTGACCACCCACTTCTCGAGCTGGGGCCTGTGAGGTCCTGGGTCCTGCCATGTAGCCGGGCCCTACTTCGGGTTTGCCTTGCCTTACAGCCATGGTCGAGGTGTGGGGCCTGTCTTCCTCTTGGCTACTTCCCTTTGTTATTTTTATTTTTATTTTATTTTATTTTTTGTTTTGTTTTTTCGAGACAGAGTCTCACTGTATGGTCCAGGCTAGTCTTGAACTTGCTGCTCCGTAGGCCAGGCTGGGCTGGAATTTTCAATCTTCCTGCCGCAGCCTTCTGAGTGCTGGGATTACATGTATGTACCAGCATACCCAGCTTGCTCACTTATTTGTTAACAAATATTTATCACACTCTTTCTGTTTATCAGGATCTGCTGTGGTAGAGGTGGAGGGAGAAACAGTTGGTTTTTTGCTTTGGATTTTTTTGGAGGGATAAGCAATAGAAACGGTTACTGTTGTCTCTTTGCTGTTGAGGTGGGAAATATCAAATCTATTAAGAGCTGGTGAAAGTCACTGAATTAGCCTTTTCTTCTGACAGTGGATGTGCTCCCTGCAGGCACTCCCAGGTCACTCTTGTCTTTGGGGCCAGGGTGCCACCTGGTACATGTGGCCCGAGCTCCACAGCCAGTTCAGGTGCCATGCGTGAGCTCCTCTGGTTTTTGAGTTCTGGAGAGGAAGCAGCAAGGAATGGGGTGCAAGGGACACTGGCCTTACCTCAGAAAATCTCCAGTTCAGTGTCTGCCTCTGATGCTGTCCACGAGGGCTTCACCATCTTGGCATGCTTGTTCCTGGTGTGCAGGAGGGCGGTGGTGAGGCTGCTGTTCTGCACTGGCTCCTAAGACAGATGGACTGGAGCCAGGGGAGACCCAGGTGGGCAGAGAGGGGCGCAGGTTGTGGGCAGCTGTGAAGAGGGCACGGGTTGGGGTACTGATGCTCTGCAGGAGCAGGCAGGTGCCCAGATGCTCTGAGTCTGAACCTTGCTGGCCCCTCCTGGCCACCTGTGAACAGGTCCTGCCAGTGTCTTGGGTGAAATGGGGAGCCAGGCACAGTTGGCTGTGCCATCCGGGGTATTTGGCTGTAAGCGGAGCTGATAGCCTCTGGGCGTCTTTGGTCCTGTGTGTGTCAGGTGCTGGTGGTTTCCTAGGTTAACTGGCTTCTTTTGCATTTAACTTTTGGGTTGTAATTACATTTGGCCCATGCTTCATGGATTGTATCTGGAAGACACTTGGGAGCAGGCCTAGAGCTGGGGCTGAACCGGAGTTACTGCGCATGTATGGAATGTCCCGGCTTTTCCTGAGGAGGTAAACAGCGCTCCGCCTTCATTAAACAAAGTTTTATCTGAGAGCTTTGAACTTGTGCAGGGCAAGGCTATGTGTAAACACTTGGGTAGAGGCTTGGCTCATAAAGCTCTGAACCAGGCTTGCTGTAGACAGACATCTTGAGGAGGTACAGATGTGCATTGTGGTAAGAAGAGGCTGGCTGGCTGGCTTTCTTTTTGAGACGGTGTCATTGTGTAGTCTAGACTAGCCTTGAACTCACAGCAGCCCTCCTGCCTCAGCTTCCTGAATGCTGGGATTAAAGGTTTGCTGCCTGGATCTGGAGGCTTTTCCTGTCCAGGCTCCTGGTGACATTCAGGTGTCGCATGTCCTGGTGACTTCTAGGCTGGAATCATGTCTTGGGTTGGTGGTGGTGCTTGCTTTCCCGAAGCCCATTTCCTGTCCCAGATGGGGTGGGCAGCTTTTCTGTAGCCTGGTGGTGTTTGGGACTCTGACCAAATATAGACTCTGGCCAGTAAGTTGGCAAGGGCCACCATGGGCTCTGTACTTGGGGGAAAGGTGGCCAGGTGCCTGGCAGGACTTAAGTAATGCTCCCCACCTTAGGTGTTAAAGTGCCACCTTTAACCAGGAGGCCCACGGTGTCTGTGGGAGCCTGCATTCTTGGGTTATTGGGGAGTTGGCACAAAGAGGGTGCCAGTGGGAGGGTGCAGTGGCAGCCATAGTTATCATTTGGAATATCTATGGGGTCCAGTCTGCCCCAGCCCAGGTCAGACCATGACTCAGCAGGTGGGGCAGAAGCTTGGGTTCGTCCTCTCTTTGTAACACTGGGATTTATATTTAGTGACTACTGATCTTGTTCTAGAAGTGCCATTTCCCACACACATCTCCAAAGAAACCTGGCTCTGCAGAAGGACTTTGACCTAGCCGTCTTTCTCCCCTCTCCCAACAGGACTTACCGTCGTGGGATCCCATGGCTGCCTCTCCTGCACTCTGTGGCCCCTTGGGCTGTGTTAGCAGAGCACTCGGCCGGCATGCTTTCAGGTGACTTAAGACCTCCCAGAAGGGCCAGGGGATAGGGTGATAACATGACAAGAGTCAGTGTAACCTCCGGAGAGTCCTGGGTTGGGGAAGGTGAAAGCGTCTGGCTGAGCTGGGATTCGGTCGGGACTGAGGAGGAAGGGAGGTGGGGAGATGACAGTTGTGGTTGTGCTGGGGATGTCGTGGGGTGGCAGAGGATGGGCACTGCTGCTTTTTAGCCCCTCCAAGACCTGGAGTGGATCCGACATCTCTTAATGCTGCATTCCCCAGGCATCAAAACCTTCCCTTTTAAGGATGGAAATTTCTCAGTTGCAGAAACAGTAAATGCTTGTTACCAAACATTCCAGCATGGTAGAAGCATAGCTCCTTTCTTCCTTTAAGGGATGCTCAGGTGTCACGGGCCCTGGTGAACTTAGCCTGGGAATGGCTTCCTGCAGTGACGGCTTCTCCAGGGGCTGCAGGGAGGGTCTTAGAAACAAGTGATGTGAGGAGTGTGATGGCTCCAGAAGGCCTGAGACAGGACCTGCTGTTGGAGGAGGGGAGGAGGGGAGGCAGATGCAGGGCAGGCACCGGGGGCTGGGAGGCGTGAGCCTGGAGTTCCCTCTTCTGCTCTGGGTGCAGGGTCCATGTAGGGTCTGCACACACGCAGGGAGTGGGCCAGGCTGATGGTGGGGAGCCACAGCAGCAGTAAGCGGCCGGGTGGTTTCGCTTTAGGTCCTAGAAGGCCGTCTCGGCGGCACAGTGCCATGGGGCCTGGAGAACACTCGTGTCTGTCCAGTGTGGAGGGAGCCGTTGGAGGAAGGCAGTCATGGGGTGGAGGCAGAGGAAGGATGGAGCCTAGGATGAAGTGGCTGTGGGTGTCAGAGCAGAGTCCCCGGAGAAGCCGCCACTTCAGGAGGAAAAGCGGCCCGAGCACCTGCCGGGGCAGCATCTGCGGACGTGTTGTGGGGACTCTGAGGGCGGAGTATAAAAGTGGTGTGGCCTGGAGGTGGGCTCTCCATGTGGGCAGTGGGGTATTGGGCACGGGGACCAGGAGAGGAGCCCTGGTCACTTGAAGGCTCTGTCTTTTCAAAGCCCGAGGTGAACAGATCTCTAATGCTGTACCTGAATAGGTGGTCTGCAAAACACTCTTAAACTTTTTTTTTTAATTAACGGTAGCAAAGTTTTATTAAAGGTAGGAAGAGAACCAGGCTCTGCACAGCAAGTTTGGAACAAGTAAAAGTAGGAAAAGTTGAACACCCTACAGCGTGAGAGCAGCCACCATAGAGAGAGAACACAATGGCCTCCGCTGCACCTTACTCAGACTCCTTAACGATCTTGCTTGCTCTGTTGTAAACAACCTGAGCAAGTATCTGGGAGGCAGGTTTCTCAGGCAAGGTAGTAGGTAGTCCTGGCCAGCCGAGGATTTCTTCAGGTTAAGATGCAATGAAGTGTGTTATAGCAGAGAACTTGGGTTTCTTAAAAATGTATTCAAATCAAGAGCCAGGCATGGTGGTGCACACCTGTAATCCCAGCACTCAAGAGGCTGAGGCAGGAGGAGTGCCACGAGTTTGAGACTGGCCTGGGCTACATAGTGAGTTCAAGTCTAGCCTGGACTAAACAGTGAGACCAAAAACACCATAAAACAGTCTATCCAAATCGAGGCTGTGGCACAAGGGTAGAAGCTCTCAATTTGGAGGAGACATGAGTAGAATGGTTTGAGAGCTCAGCCCGTGCGTGTGAGTGTGTGCACTTGTGTACATGCAGCTGGTGTACACTCTCTGGCCCCTTCAGGCCTCTGACCTTGGCCTTGTGTTTTCTGTCCCCAGCACCACAGGCAGCATCGGTGCCATCCAGAAGCTGACGCGGGTGCGCGTGGTGGACAACAGTGCCCTGGGCAACACCCCGTACCACCGACCTCCCCGCTGCATCCATGTCTACAACAAGAGCGGGGTGGGCAAGGTGGGCGACCGGATCCTGCTGGCCATCAGGGGGCAGAAGAAGAAGGCGCTCATCGTGGGGCACCGCATGCCTGGCCCCCAGATGACCCCCAGGTTTGACTCCAACAACGTGGTCCTCATCGAGGACAATGGCAACCCTGTGGGGACTCGGATTAAAGTGCCGCTGCCCACGAGCCTGCGTCGGAAGGAGGGCGAGTACTCCAAGGTGCTGGCTATCGCAAAGAACTTTGTGTGAGCAGCGGTCCCGGCCCGCACCTGGCTGTGCGGAAGGCAGGGCCCCTCTGGGGTGGGGGACAGTGTCCTCTGTGGGAATAAACATTGTTGTGCACGGCTGCTTCCTGCGCATCTGGGTTGGGGCCACGAGGCCAACGACCATACCTGGCCCCATGGGTGACAGACAGCTGGCACCCTGCTCTTCTCCTCAGGGCCCTGTGACATGAGATCGTCCAGGCTTGGCAGATTCGGGAAACCGGGTACGAATAGCTGTCACTTTATAAATGTGCCACGGAGTCTGCTCATCTGTCTTAGAGGGCTCAAGATGTGGTTGCCTGGTCATAAAGACCACAGGAGTCAGGTGTGCTGGCATATACCTATAACCTCTGAGCTTAGGAGGCTGAGGCAGGAGGATCGTTGTGAGTTCAAGGCCAGCCTGGGCAGTTTAGTGGGGCCATGTCTCAAAAACACAAAAAAGATGACTGGGGCCACTGTGGAATGTGAATTGGACGTGTCCTGTGGGCTGCAGGAGCACCCAGGTGGTGCCCGGTCATTCCTTGGGGTGTCTGTAGCCAGAACTGCAAGGAAATAGGTTGGTCCTGTTTTGCAGGTGACGTACTGTCAGGCCTGTGTGGCAACTGACATTTTGTGTTCCGTTCATTTGTTGGTTTCCTTGGGGAAGTGAGGCTCTCATCAGCTCATGTCAAGTTCCTTCACCTCACACACCTTGGGTGCCTGTGAGCTACCGCAGCGGCCTCGGACGCAGGGTCACATCGTGGTCAGGAACACGCTTCACAGCCAGGCTGCCTGGTGTGAATCCCTGCTCTACCACAAGGCTCGGAGACATCGCGCGAATGTCTGACCTTCCATGCCTCAGTTTTCTTGCTGGAAGATGAGGATGTAACAGTGGCGCACTTACCTGACAAGGTTACATGAGCTTAGTGCCCGTGAGTATTTCTCTCAGTACCTGGAGGAGTAAGCACTTGGCATGGCTGAGCCATTTCCTGTTCTCGTGACCGTGCCAGCTCCAGGAAGCGAAGATGACTAAGGGCAGGGGTGGCGCTTGTCCTTGGGGAGCTTAACGTGTCACAGAACCAGCACAAATCCAATGATGCCTCAAATGCCCTGGCAATGCTGGGAGATCCCAGACGGGCAGCCCTGGCATCTAGGCATGTTTCCATGGTGGTTGTGCCCCGCCAAACCTCCAAACTCTGGGGCACCAGTGGAGCCTAAGGCCATTCCACTTGGTGCTGATGCTGGGAGGCAGAGACTGCCAGCATCACATCTTCCAACTGAGGAGCACGCTACTGCCCAGGGTCCTGAGTGTGGCTCCTTGTGTCCTGGGCATTGCCTTTGGCAAGGGCTGGTGGAATCTGGGTGCCCAGCACCACTGCCCTTACCAAGCTGCCCTGCAGTGTGGTCTCTGCACTGCCACAGTGCGGCCCAGAGCTTGAAGTTGCCCCCTGTCCATGCTGCCCCCTGCAGGCTGTGGCAGGAGGGGCTGGCTGGGGCAAAGGCAAGGGACTCGCTCTCAGCCTGGCAGTGCCCTGGCTGGACCTTCAGTGTGCTGGGGCGGCCTGACCCATGCAGCCCATTTCTCCGCTCACTTCTTGCTGGGCCCGAGCCCCATCCCCTCTGTCCGTGGTCTCATCTTTTGGGGTCCGACCGCTGGCACACTCCTGCTTGCCACTCTCAAGACTCAGCAGAATCACCTGTCCTCTGTCCCCTGTGACTCCGTGGGCTTGAGTGCTTGTTCCGAGGTGTTCTGAGCTGTCCACCGGAAGGCTGTGGTCTCCGTGCAGCCAGGTGCCCGGGACTGTGACGCAGGCCTCACCCCACACTGCCCAGAATAGCCCTGCCTGGCTGCTATGCCCGCCGCCTGACCGCTTTGCAGACGGGAGCTTCGTTTGCTGTCCACCCCCACCCCACTCTCTGCCCATGAAATATTTATAATCACAGATTGTGTTTCGCTCCCTGTGAGGATAAACTTGCTTTGTTTTCCCCTCTGTGCCCTTATGAGGCTGCCCAACAGCCCCAGGGCTCATCCTTCTAGTCCTGGATGTCACTGTGGTGTCTGCTGAAGTGTCCCCACCACCTGTGGTGTGACCGCTCTAGGCCGCTGCAGGGGATGTAGGGACGGGCAGATTGGCAGCAAAGCTTGGTACTTGGGTTCCTTTTGGGACCCACTTGGCAGCCGGTGGCGTGGCTTTGGGAAGCCACCGCCCTGGGGAGCTGGGAGCTCACTGGGCTCAGGAGGAAGCCTGGCTGGCAATGCGCAGCCCCCAGGACCATGTGACACTGGCTGCAGCCCTGTCCCCTGCTCCCTGAAGGGTGTGCCCTTGGAGCAGATGAGGACCTCAGTGAAGTGGGTAGAGTTAGAGACCCATTTAGTGAATGCTCCCGACCTGCAAGACCTCTCCTAAGCACCTCTCTTTGGTAGTTTTTTTTTTTTTGAAGTGGGTAGAGTTAGAGACCCATTTAGTGAATGCTCCCGACCTGCAAGACCTCTCCTAAGCCCCTCTCTTTGGTAGTTTTTTTTTTTTTTGAGACAGCTTCATGCTATAGGCTAGACTACTGCACTGGTCTTGTGATCCTCCTGCCTCAGCTTCCCAAGTGCTGGGATTACTAGCATGCACCACCACACTGGGTGTGGTGTCCTAAGGTGGGTGGTGCCTGTTCTAAGTGCCCTCGTGGGGAAGATCGGGTTTCTTCCTGGGCTGGACCTGGGAACCCGGGCTGCAGACCCGGTCTGAGGTCCTGGGCTGGGAATTATGTTGCTGGGCTGCTTAAGCTTCCTGAGTGCAGGGAATACTGTGGAGGGTTGTGACGGGGTACAGAAGACCTGAGCAAGTGAGGGGCACCCCACAGTCTGAGCTGGGAGAATTTGTGCATTGGAGGGGTGAGGGTTTGGGGCAGGAGAGGGAAGAAGGTGGGAGGAGCTGCTGAAAGGGAAGGAGGGGCTGAGGAAGAGAGAGGGCCTCTGACAGGGTCACTGGCGATTTCCCTCCCAGCGCGGGTGCCTTTGGGGGCGTTCCTGGGCCTGAAGCACTTGGTGGGAAGGGAGGGAGCAACAGCTTAGCGGGTAGGGGTTGTACCTCATTTTGTGAGGTGGACACTGAGGCATGGGTGTTAATTGCTGGGTCTGGCTCCCCAGCTCCAGACAGAACCCTGGCTGGCACAGCAGGAGGGAGGAGGGTTCATGCTGCCAGCCTCCTCAGCGTGAGGCATGGTTTGACCCGGGACATAAAGGGTTGAAGCTCACAAGGGCCCACATCGCTCAGCTCACTCATTTGTTCATTCATTCATGCATACAGCCCTGAGGACTGAACCCAGTGAGCACTGAGCCATGGCCCTAGCCCCTTTTTAATTTCTAAATTTTGGAATGTTGTCCGGTTAAGTTGTCCAGGCTGAGCTTCAATTTGCCATCTTCCTGCCTCAGCCTCCCACACTTAGTTTCACACTTCTTCACTTTTACTCGGCCTGTCAAGACCTGAAACATAAGAGCCTGTAGCCCCAGCACTTAGGCTGAGGCAAGGGGGTTGCCAAGCCTGGACTACATAGTGGTTCAAGGCCAGCCTAGAATGTACAGTGAGACTGTCTCAAAAAACCAAAAAAAGACCTGAAACCTAGCACGTGTTAGAGACGCGTCCCCTGCGTAGTTCATGCACACACAGATGCAGTGTCAGGTTGGGGTCCCCCTAAACCTGCAGGGGCTCCTAGGCTGAGAGCCACTCAGGAAGTGCTCATCAGTGATCAGTGGGGGACAGGATGAGGCGAGACAGCCCTGCCCTGCCTGGGCAACCTCACCTCACACAGGGCACCAGAGGCCCACACAGTCTGAGAAATGGGCACAGAGGAATGAGCAGCGTCCCCTGTGCCACGGGACACACAGCAGCTCTGAAAGGACAGCGGGATGTGAATAGATGCAGCACTCCCAGAAGGCTGCTGAGTGGGAGAAAGGATTTTGGAGGGCAAAACCCATGCCGCCTATGTAAAGTAGAACGTGACAGTGCTCAGTGTGTCGCTTATTTCCTACAGATGGAGGAACACCTCCGAATGCACACAGAAAGCTGGGTGAGGCAGGACTCCTGGGTCCTGGTGGGGCCGCCCTGAAGACTGGGGTCCTGGCCAGAGGAGAGAGGCCCATCTAGAGGATGCAGGGTTGTTGTTATTATTTTATGGTACTGGGAATTGAACCCAGGGCCTCTGCTCCGAGTTCCATCACAGCCCCTTTTCAATTTTGAGATAGGGTCTTGCTTAGTAGCTAAATTGCCCAGGCTGGGCTCGAACTTGGGATCCTCCTGCCCAGCCTCCCAGAGTGCTGGAATTAAAGAGTGCACCACCGTACTGGCTCTTTAATGTTTTTAAATGAGACTGTCCTTAAAACCGACTAAAAGAGCCGTGCACACGTGGGGGTGTACAGGGAAGGAGGGAGATGGAGTTCTGAGGGGGTTGTGGGGACGTGAAGGCCAGGTGAACCTGTGGCCCAATCCTGCCAGCCACCTTGGGCACCTTGGATAAATGCAAAGCATGTGTGGTAAACCTAGTCTCTGGCAGGTGCCCCGGAGGTCACTGGTCAGCCACGTTTCTGCACCCTTGGTGCCATCTAGGGGGCAAAGGGCTCCCTGCAGGTAACCTGGTCCTCAGCGACGATGCGCGACCTTGGTACTGGGCGTCCTGGTCTGAAGAGATAAGGAGGGCAGGCAGGCTGTGGTCTGACCCTGTGGGGGGGGGGCGACTGTCAGGGTCGCCCGTCTCCCTGAGGCCTGGCTTCAGGCAGAGCTTGGGCTTGATGCCAACTTGTAATCCCCGGATCTTGGAAGGGAGTGGAGCACCCACAGGGTCCTCCCAGAAGTGAAGAGAGGGAGGGGAAACCGCGCGGAGCCCTGGAGTTTGGCTGACTACGGGCATGGGCCAGACCACCAGTGCCCACGTCCACCGGCGTCCCCTCGTGCTTCAGTTTCCCTCTGTGGCCTGCAGCAGCACCTTCCTTACAGGGCTGCTATGAAGGAAAATAAGGCACCCATCCTAGGGCGTTTCAGAGTGAGGCCTTGTGTGGTCTTTGGGGTCACCAGGCCTGTGGAGATGACCCTCACCTTGCTGTCCCCAGGGTTC